TTAAGATAATTTCTGTTTAATGCAGCGGTGTCTATTCTTACCTAAGCATTTGAGGCTTTTTGTACTGCTTCAGCGATTCGAGTCTTCAGTGTACCACTTAGAAAATGAATTTTTACAGCATAAAACCGTCCCACCTACTTTTGTTTGAGATATTGTGCCTCAAACAACAAGATAGACGCTCCTGGTTTGATTGAGAAAGAAGTACATCAGAGAAATGTAATATCTATGAAGTTCGATGTCGAATAAGAAATATTTGTGGAAGTAACGATGATTCTGCTAATGGTGGTACGTGTGTTATTTGATTCGTTGATGACGGTGGAATATAAATTAAAAATCGACAATAGGGACAACGATAATTATTACATAACCATGGTAGTAGACATTCACGATGAAATAAATGTTTACATACCAATTGAAGTAGAATATCTGTTTGACAAAAATCTTGTAAACAAATTGGACATGATTGGTGATAGTGGGATTTTACATCAGAATAGTTTAATGTTTGAGCAATAACATCAGCTGTTAAAATTTGTTCACATTGTAAATTTGAAATTGCATTTGTCATTATTTCTTGTTGATTAATAACAATTGTTGGTGAAGATGAACGAGATATATTAGAATGATTAATTAGAAAATAATTACTACCAATTGCTACTTGACCATTTTGAAGTGAGACAATATCATTAGACTGTTGATAATGAATATTATTATGTTCATGAATAATTGATCTAGGGTTATTATGCTCATTTAATTTGACTTCTATCACTGTTTGTGGCCTGTTTCGTGCAGAACTGGGAGTAGTTTGAATAAGAAATGTGGGATAAGTTGACGAATAGTTATTGTTAGACCATTGTTGGTGAGAATTATTGTTGAATAAAATTTTTAATCCCCAACGTCCGTTATTAGTAATATTGACATGTAATTGATTTATAAATGGATGAACGTGCTCTAGTCTATTTGAATTATTCATAATTTTCAAATTATTATTTTTTTTCAATGATCTTATACATTTTATTACAAAATCAAATATCATAACAACAAAAACAACAATAAACAATAACGTGCGCATATTTTGGTTGCTACACAAAAATATCTACATTAGATGACATCCTATTTTTCATTATTCTCAAGCAGATAAAAAAAATGATATAACAATCACAAAATTTTAAATTTATTAGATAAAATTAAATAAGATGGGTGTAGGTGAAATCTATTTATCATCATAATCAGATATTTACATGTTTTGTCTATATGTTATGTCAAACTAATAAAAATTTTAAAAAAGAAATCTGTAATTAATGATTTAAACATGCAATAAGTCTGGAGTTTTCATCTAATGATAAAAATCGTTATGTTCAAAATAGTTATATCATTAACAATATATTATACTTTAATTTATAATCTAGATCTTTTCTATTCTTAAGCACACATATCAGGAATTGTTAGAGGAAAAACAGTGTTCAGTTATTTGATGAGAAAAGTCATAACTGAGAAGAAAAAAAACAAAACGACTATAAATAAATGAAACGCTTTTGAATTAACAAATTTAGTTTCTCAGGTGAAAGAATGATTTATTTTTTTTTAAAATAACATTATCTAAAAGATGAGTTACACAATAGTTTATTTTTAACTATATTCTCTTTGTAGTCGATTTCAACAACGTTATTCTAGAGTATGTGTGTGATCGATAGATGAATATTAAAAATCTTTTACTGTTATACATTTGTCGATACTGATTTTTTGCCTTCTCATCATGAAATTTGTCATTAACACAATTTATAGTTCAATGATGAAAGATATGTAATTACTGATCATTTTTAGTTTTTTCATTTTATTAATGACTAAGTAAAATGATAGAAAAGAAATAATGAGGGGCAAGAAAGTAAGATATATATTTTAGTAATAATAGTCTTTATTTCGACATAGAGTCAATTGCGTATAATATATCTTCTTTTCTTAGATATTTCATTCTTCTTCTTCTCTTTTACTCGGTCGTTCGGTCGTTCTGAAAGACGATAGTATAGTAAAATTAATATATTTGGTGTTAAGAATTAAAGTACACTAAAAAAAAAACACAATAAAATGAAATCGAAATTTCTTTGTCTTATCTTATGCCGATGTTGTAGAAAATGTTTTTAAGTTTGTTTCTTAGGTAAGAAATTTGATCTATGTTGTGTGTTGTTCAAAACATAACACAATGATAGGTCTTTTTCTCATCTAACAGGTGGCATTATATCCGCTAAGTAAGCTAATTGAAATATTTTGAAAATAATCTTTTTACTTTTAGTATTATCCATTATCCATCCATTCATTGTTTTGACTTGTTATAATATTTGACTAAAAAGATATGTGAAAGATTTTAAATATGTCCATATAAAACTCTACTTCTTTAATATTTGACATTATTATTATACATTTATATAAAAATTTTACATAAAAACAAACATTAAATATTTTAAATTTTATCAAAGTGGTTTTGCCTAAAAAAAATAATATAGTTAGTAGAAAAAAGAAAACAATGTCATATCGTTTGTTGACAATATGAAAAATAAGAGATTAATATATGACAAAATAAATTCTCGTTATCTCCTTGTGTAACAATGTATTAAGAGACTGTTGAAGTATATACTATTAGAATAACAATTAAAACAGTTTATGCAACCCGACAACCCTACATAAGACGTCTTACCAAAACAAAACAAAAAAAAAAAAATAATAATGTCAAATGGCCAAACATTATCAATTTTTCATCATTCTTAGTCGAAGAAAAGAAAATATTATTATTATTATTGTTTATATCTTAGAGCGAGAAAAGAAAAGATGTTTTCTGTCATTATGCACATAAATCTTCTCTTGTAGAAAAAAACAACAACAACAACTCTTGACAAATATCAGTCTTATAGTATTATGAACTACTTAAATAAAAAATAATAATAAAACTATTATACAATAAATATTAAAAATTTTCCTTCTCAATTTTTAATTATGAATTTAAGATATAAGAATGTAGTAAGTAGAAATATTAATTTTTTGAAAAAAAACTGTCATACATTTTCTCTCTGACTAAATTGTTGACAAGAAAATATTTTTTACGAGAAAATTTTCCCCGGAGTGTCAAACTCCGTTTTCAACGATCTTATGTTCAGGTGATAGAGGAAAGTATTCTAGTTGTCCATGGTACTTCTTTCAAGAGTTATGAATTTTTTTTTATTTCACTGAGGCAACAGGTACAAAAACACTAAAGTTTTTGTATCTCGATAAAAAAATAGCGAGTTTTTTTATGACATTTTTTTTTCTACGATTGTTCTAATATTCGATTAACATCATAGAAAGAATCAGTGTTTCAGCCTTTCTAGAAAATAATCTAGTGAATTTTCCTTATTTTTAAAGAAAACCATGTTTTCCTAATAATTCATTTTTCGTCTGTTATGGTTAATTATATGTGACCTTGTTAATGTTTCCTAATGAACAAGCTATCTTCTCTCTCCTCACTCTCTGTAATTTATTTAATTTGTTTGTTTGATGATGTAATTGATTCTCTATGCTAATAACGGTTATTTTCCTCTATCAATGGGCATAAGATCATTGAAAACGGAGTTTGACACCTGGGAAAGTTTTCTCATTAGCATAGTTTAAAGTGTATGGACTCCTCTCGTTGATAATTAAACATAAAATTCGTACATTTCATATTTCTTTCTATGTCTACATATATATGAGAGAAACGTAACTTTCTGGTACAATCGATAAAAAAAAATGAAAGTGTTCATTAAAAACATTTGAATGGTACGTTTTGTTCCCATGTCTTTGTCGAGCATCCTATAAAAATTTCTCAACTGCCAGACTCATACTGGCTGAGTTAGGAGGGAGACAATTTTCAGTTTTTGCCATACAGAATTTCTGGCAGGATTTTGCTAGAAAAACGATAGAAATAGATGTATTCTACATCGTTCGACAGAGAATGATTCGAGCAGTACAGTGCGACTGTAAGCAAATGCGTCAAGCCGAAAAACCGCAGCAAAATCCAACAAATGGCGTTTTTGTTGCAAAAACTGTACGAAAAATGGGTCTTTTGACGTTCAGACTCGAGCAAAAGTTGTCCAGACCTGGAAAACACTTTCGGCTGTACGGTGGGATACCCCTGAGATATGACCT